TTTGCATCGCCTATTCATCATACAAATTTTACTTAGGGAAGAAAGGATCATAATAGCATATCCAGTAAACACTCACTTTTTAATATTACAATATATATAATGTACCAATTTTCTGGAAATACAGAGAGCAATAAAATATGTTATACTACCCCACAAGAGGTAATTGCAAAGTAGAGACTATAGGAAACTAAAGAATAAGCACAGTTTCTTCAACAAATTGCAAGGAAAGGAAGAAAACTGAAGAAGGAACCTATAGATTAAATATGAGACTTTAAAGCTTATCAACCAATTGCATCCAAGGATTTTATTGAGATATGGGTTCAAACTTTAAAAAAATGTAAAAACACAATTGGGAATTTGAATCAACATTAGAAATTTAAAGATATTAAAGAATCACTTTGTTTTTTTAAGGATCTAATTGTAGCTATGATTTTAAATTCTATGCTGTGTTTTCTGAGTGTTTATGAAAGCATTTACAGATGATATGTGATGTTTGGCTCAAAACAAGAGGGAAACGAGATGGGAGTATGGATAGAATAGAATTGGTCAAAGACAATAAAGTAAAGCCTGTGAAAGCTGGAATAGTCCCAAAAGGGAGCCCTCAAACACTTCTCCCTAAGACGAGCAACAGGACAGTGGATTGATTCCATCCTGCGAAAGGGGCAGTCGTGAGAGCCAGGTCGACAAGGCAGTCTGGGGAGTGCTTGCTCGCACGGACTACACTGGACTGGTTGGGGTGGCTGACAGGTACATGGAAGCTCATTATACTGTTCTGTCTACTTCTGTGAGTGTTATAAATTCGCCAAATCTAAAATAATGGGTAAAACCCCATATTAATTAAGATCTAAAATAATATAAACCAAGGTACAAGCAGTGCTTGCCTACAGCTTTTTTTATTGCTTACTTATATCTTCTCATTCTTTCCCCAACAAACATGCAGTTTTATATTATGTAAAAATGTTTAGTAAAAATAAAACCCTCAATTCTTCTGATATGTTAGCGATTATAAGAAAAAATCTTGGCTAAATTATTACTGGTTTGTATGGTGACTGAGCCATGAGGTTTGTAGTAATTTCAAAATTAACTAAAATGTACAATCATTGTGGAAAATAATACTGTGCTACCTCAAACCACTGGGAATAGAAATTCTGTATGGGACTGTACTACTTCTAGTGAGTATATACCTTCAAAGAAGTAAAAGTGGTAATACAGACAAATGTGCTCCTATGTTCATCATAGCACTGTTCACACAACAGTAAAAAGTTGGAAACAGTCCAAATGCCATTCAGTAAAAGAGTGGGTTTAAGGAACTTTGGAACATGCACGTAATGGAATACTATGCATCACTAAAAACAACGATGAAACCATAAGTGCCTCATGACACGGATCTCTGGAGAACGTGATGCTGAGTGAAGCTACTCAATCACAATGGTAAATGCTGTGTACGACTACTGCCATCAAGAGAAAAAGGAAGTCAAAGACTGGCAGACCAAAGGGAACTGACTGACTCCGAAGGTTTCCAAGGGAGGGAGGGGAATGGTGGGCAGATGAAGCAATGGACTAGAGGGCTGACAGGTACTGACTTGGGTGAAAGGGAGGATGGAAATCCATTAAGAGGGAGAAGAACAATCAGGGGCAGTGGGATAGGATATGGTGGGGGGTGAAGGGTGGGGGTAGTTTGAACTGTTGAATGTAGATGGCCTTAAATGTAAACCTCCCCACCTAATTCACAATTTAAAATGCATTATTTTTCAAGAACCGAAAGCCAACTTTACAGTTGGTGAAGATGCGCTTAAACCCAATTTCAGTTTGGGTTAATCCCTCTACTGGAAAGAAGACATCTTTCAGACTGACTAGTAAGCACGTAGACTGCAATTCAGAGACTGGCTCACTAGATATTAAAGCTGCCAATGAAACTAAATTGGGAGGTGTTGCCAACACCAAAGGCACTTAAGTGCAAACAATCACATTAAAAATGAGATTCCAGTTAGAAAAAAAATGCAAATATATACAGAGGAAAACCATCTGTAGCTGACAACTCAAAGTGAGTGAAAGAAAGACTATACGAAAAGGCGCCTGGAGGGTAAGAGCAGGCAGGTGTGTGTGTGTGTGTGTGTGTGTGGGGCTGTAAAAGTTAGGAGCAGCACAAAGGAAGATGCAAGAGAACATCAACCCTACAGACACAGAAAAGCAAAACCAGATGGGAGGAAAGAAAACCGGGAGATGAAAGTCTCTGGGGAAGGGAGACAGTGCTACAGGAGGTCTGGGCCAGTCCCCCACACTGGATTTGCCCACAAAACAAACTCACCCAATTTCCCCCCTCTCAGGTATAACTAGGACAGATGACTGTGGCATTTTGAAAAAGCATACACGTCTCTTCCCTCGATTTGTCACGATGGAACAAGTCTTCTCTAGTGGCAACCAGCTCTGATTAGACCTACTATTAAGAACACTCGAGGACTACGTACCTCATAGGCCCAAAGTACTAATTGGGCCATTTATGTAAGACTTTTCTTTTGTTAGCACAGGTACCAACTACTTACTATTATCTACCTCCAAGGAGCTCAAAGTACTCACAATATAATTCATCCATCATAATATTGTGACGTACAGTTTTCCAGGGAAGAAAATAATGACTCCATTCATAAGAAAAAATAAGACTCAAAAAAGCCCAAATGGATGCAGAATATAATGCGTCTGTCTGTTAAGTATGGGAAAAGCAAAGCTAAGAACCCAGGCACTCTCATGGCAATTATTTCTGCTTCCAAATGTTTCAAGCCAGGGGTCAATACCATCAGACTATAATACTTCCCTCCTACAGGCTGAACTAGTTACTTACTACACTGGGCTACAAAATAAGATAGTTTATAGAATGTAACGTACATATTAAGAACAATAGATTAGCAGGCTAATATGTTATCTAGGAGGATTAAATCCACTGCAAACATTTGAAAGGAATCTTACTTCTTAGATAAAAAATGAACTGCCTTCACTTTCTCTTACTTCTTTCTTAACTCAATTATTTTTTTGGGGGAAAATGGAAAACAGCAGTACATATGTATATAACACAGTACATATGTATATAACCTTGCCGAATTATCTCACCCCATCATGTAGAGTGACTCCTTATTGTTTTAATTGAAAATGTCAACCCTTGGACTGAGGCTGGGGTGGGCACTCCTTGGTGGGAGAGGAAGCAGAGAGTGACTGCCCCGGGACTGTGAGAGTGGCAACAACCCCTGGCTTGGTGGGTGTGCAATGGGAAGGGACCCAGAATCACCACAGATTAGTACCTCGATGTCCCCTCACAGTGACAGGACAGGTTTTGATCTGTTAAGCTAGGATCTGCACTTGGAAGAATTGATCCAGGAAGTTTCCCCCTGGCACCACACCACACACTTGGGGGAAATGGAACTCCTGAGGTGCAGCTCCAGGTGGAACTATACTTGCACAGACTCCTCAGACCTACAGTGTCTAAAGTGCTGTGTCACTGGAAAAATCCATGTTATCGGTGCAATCACCTTTTATCCCAGGGGGATGATTAACAAGGTTTTACATTTTTGTTTCTATGGGTTTTGTTTTCCTGCCTTTAGTTTGTTTGATTTTGTTTTGCTGGTTGATTTGTTGCTGTTGTTGATGTAGGTGGTCTTATGGGGTTTTGACTTTGTCGTAATACGGCAGCCAAAGTAAACCTAAGTCATGCATATCCCAGGGACAAGCAGATGGATTCTGGGCCCCCACTGAACGCTAGCTCCAATCCTAGAACAGTTAGTTCTGATCACATGCCCCTGCTAGATCTTCACCTGCATGAAAGGATCACTGAAGATAAGGGTGCTCCAGCAAAGTGTGGTGAAGAAAGAAGATGGTGTCAAGCTATCAATCATCAATCAGAATAGTGCCTGGCGTCTTAAAGGATTGTATTCTAACAAGCAGCCAACTAAGTCCACATCAAACACGCGTGATCCAAAGACGACAATAATAAAATTCAAATACAACGGAGGGAAAAGTCTCAGAACTAAAATTGTAAACACCTAATTTGTGGAAGGCTGTGGAGGACAGTGGGAGCCCAAAACGCATCTGCAGAGTATCTGGTCAGATTAAGCCACTGGCAGATTCCCTCTACTCAAAGGCAAAGGTTTGGAATAGCTTACTATCACACGTAGATCATTGTAACCTGAATATGCTGTATCAACCTTGACAGTTAGTCAGGTGAACTCCAGCTAGACTCAACCGGTATTTGTTCTAGGTACAAAGATCCCTTGCTTGTTCCAAGACGAAAACTCTTCCCTGATTTTTAAAATATTGATGGTGGTCTTTTCTTTCTTACTCATTATTTGTATTTTTATCTTTATATTATTAGTTTACGCTTACCACTTTATTTTGGCTTTGCTTTTTATTGTTTCTGTCGAGTTTTCCAATTTTTGAAGCACAGGAGTAGATACACAGAGACAATAACTGATACAAGGGTTTATAGGGGATGTAGGCGTGGGGAGTGTAAGATAGGGAGGGCAAGGGGATTTCAGGGACAAACAATTTATGTGGGAGGAAGCACTGAACTCATTGTGATTTTCAAAGCACACGCATTTTAAAACAGATTTAACCAGGAAAAAAAGAAAACGTTCTAAAATTTATTGTGGTAATGATTGTACAATCCTTACTGGTAGGATTGAATTACTGAATTGTATAATATGTGGATTGGGTGTGAATAAAACTGTAAAAAATAAATAAATAAAAATGAAAACAAGTATCATAGCTATAGTAAATCCAAAAGGTAGTGAGCTTTTAAAACAAACAAGAAACAATCCTATCCACTTTCTATCAAATTACTATTGTCCCCAAACACTGGCAATCTCTTAATGTTTCTGACAATAGAGTTTTGCCTGAGCTCATCGGTGAATTAAGAGATAAACCCTGAATTGTGTGTCCCTTCCCCGGTACACATAACAAAACTCATCTGGAGTATAGCTAGGAGTGGGCGAATGACTGAGTTGAACACAAAGTCATGGGCCCATTAGTATAACAGACTTGACAAGCCTTTAGTTCAGAGATTCTTCACGTATGTGGCAATACCAGATATACATTTCCATATGTTCATGAGATAATTATGTTACAAAATAGTACTGAGTAGATTCCAATGTTGTATGGGGAAAAATACGTGTGTTTACAAAACAGAAAGAATTATCCCAAATTTTAATACTGTTCCTGCATGGTAGGATTATATATGACTGTGTTTTCTTTAAGCCATGTTGGAGCTGTGAGGTAAGCATTGACCTGCTAAGCTCATGGTTGTCGGTTCAAATCCATCACCAATCTGTAGAAGAATGAAGCTGTCTGCTCCATTAAGATTCATAGCCTCGGGAACCCTAGTGTAAGGTCGCTATGAGTCGGAATGAGCATGTACATGGGTACAGATAAGAGCTGGAAACACAGGGAATCCAGGACGGATAAACCCCTCAGGCCCAATAATGAGAGTAGCGATCCCAAGAGGCTAAGGGGAAAGTGGGAGGAGAGAGGGGGAACCAATCACAATGATCTGTTACATATAAACCCCTCCCAGGGGGACGGACAACAGAGAGGTGGGTGAAGGAAGAGATCGGTCATGGTAAGACATGAAAAAATATCAGTAATTTATAAAGATTATCAAGGCTTCATGAGAAAGGGAGGGAGCAAAGGAACAAAAGTGAGGAGCCAAGGGCTTGAGTAGAAAGAAAATGTTTTGAAAATGATGATTGGAACAAATGTAAAAATGTGCTTTGACACAATGGATGCATGCATGGAAGGTGATAAAAGCTGAAGGAGCCCCCAATAAAGAGATTTAAAAGAAAAACTTTTTTTTTCAGAATTCTGTAACTTGTTTTACAGAATTTGAATCTCCCTTGACACAAGAGACTGTTTTGAAATAAAATCTGTTTAATCTCCCACAATGTCAAACGACTCTCTGTAGAAACACAGAGTTTTAGTTCTTGCCATAGCACAGCCTGGGCCAAATTCCATTCTCTTTAATATGTTCAGGGAAAGTTAGCACCATTTTGCTCACAACATCACAAATCTACTCTGAGAATATGAATAACATTATCTCTACTGGATTGATCTCTGCAATTTCAAAACAAATTTCTAAAACTTTAAAAGTTCTCCTTCTTAGCCAATAAATCTGAGAATGATATATGAAAATTATTATCTTTCAAAATACATTCTGAAGTCTAGAAACAAAATAAAACAAAAGAGCATTATAGTCTTTATTTAACCAACGAAGAATTCTTCCATACTTTATGTGGAGAAAGTAAACTATTTTCGAGGTGGTTATGATCATATTTAGGGGATCCTCACTAAACCACTCCCTCTTGTTTCAGTAACTCCCCCACAGGGCACCCCATGTGTTCTCCAGGACAGCTCCCTTTTCTTTCATTCCCTTCTGTCCTTCTCGCTGGAAGTTTTCCTAACTAAAATCACTACAGATTTGGAAGAAATTGCATGAGGAATATACAGCTAGACAGATGACCATAGACTTAGAAATCAGGGAGATCTTCTAATTCATCTTGCTGAACCTCTTTAAAATCCAGATAAGGAGAAATTGTTTACGTCCACCACCCTCCAAGTGATTGTAAAGGTTTCACTCTTTCTAAAAATGCTGGAGTCTAAAATACACAGGGATAGCTTATATATCAGGAAATTTCTTTGGAATTTGAAGAACTTGTACTTGGAACGTCGTTAGGACTCCCTGAGAGTGTGTGAAAGATAAGAATTGCCTCATTCCTGTATTGTGTTTTAGTGTTAGAAACAGTTAGTGATCTGGCTGAGAAGTAGAAGAAAAACCTTTGGAAAAACAGCCAGGCAAAAAATGAACTACCAGATAACTACTACTTACATTTCTCGGAATGCTCACAAACCTTCAGGTACTCCCAAGAATGGCTGGAAGAAGGGAGGGTCTCGAGGAACCTTACCCATCTCAATTTTGGGGCTATCAAAATTAAATACGGGAAACTTGTATACATAAAGTAAATAAAAAGGGAAAAAGATGCATTTTGCACATACTTTTCATGAATTTTCAAGACCCGGTGAACTATAGGAATCTCTCTTCCTTCTATCCTAAAAACAACAATTTCTCCGACTCTTATGGGGTCGTCAACGCGATTTGTTAGAAACAGGAGATCTCCTCGATGAAACGCGGGCTCCATGCTGCCACTGCAAAGAAGAAGATGTCATTACAACACCAAGTCTGAGATCACACTGCCTTTCAGATTTAAGACATTCAATAAAACAGAAGTACCACTTCTGGAGTATGATAATAGAGTATACTCAATACTTAATTAACAATTATACCAACATAAATGTGCTTAATGCTCAATATATGGTCTTCTCAGTTTCCCCAAACTAATGTGCTCTACCGAAGATGCCCCCCTCCCACCACCACCACCATTAGCTTTCACTAACTAGTTCCATTCAAGCATTACTATTCAAGAGCTAAAAACTTGAAAAGGGCAATGTTACTAATTCCTTAACCTTTTAAAATTTCAAATGACAAAGAGAATATAAAAGGAAAGAATGAACTTTAAAGACACTGCCCTTATTCTCAATTCATCTGAAAACACTAAGCATATTCAAATGAGATCATCGTCTTCTGCCATTTACAAAGATAGAGATCAAGATGACCTTATGGTTCAATCCAGTAAGAGGGAAAAACAGCCCAGCGAGTCAAAGAACCCTCACTGACAGAGATAACACTTGCGCTATCAACTTATTTTTGTTTTATTTTAGAAAGAAAAGGAGACCCTGGACGAGAGCAGAGCAGATTTTTCGCCGACTAATTTCAGAAACCAGGGAAGGTTTGATTCCATGGAAACTGATGGCAGGAGACTTCCATTGAATGTCTTCTCACCTCTCACTCTACCCTACACCAAATTCTAGAAATGTCCTAAGATAATTAATTGTATAGGCCAATGAACCCATTTCGATGAAGGAGTAACCCAGCATCTTATTTTCAGATTTCAAACTCCAGTTTTTAGTAGCTAGAAATTTGGGATGGAGGAAATGGATTCCACCCACTGTCGTTGAGTTGATTCTGACTCGCAGTGCCTGTTCTCCAGGGTCACTGAGACTCTACATCTTTACAGGAGCAGCAGGTAGCATCATCCTTCTCCCAAGGAGTGCTGGTGGGTAAACGGCTGGCCCAACAGTTAGCCACCAGAACTGAGGAGGAAATGGGTAGGCAGGCAATGAAATTCAATACAGGAATCATGACCACGTGTCCAGCTCTCCAGTGTGAGGGCTCTGGCACCACTACAAAAGGAAGGGCTGTGGTTCCCAGTTTTTGCAGCACATTGCAATCACCTAAAGAACGACAAAAATGCCAGTGTTCTGGTCACACCCCAAACCAGTCAAATCAGAATGTCGAAATGGGAAGCAGGCACCAGTGCTTGGTAAAGATTCCAGGTAGTACCAATGCATAGAAAAATTTGGAAATCACTAAGAATGTGGCTTTTCACATTCTGAGAACTTGGGGTTTTGATCCTTGGGTACAGAGTACAAGGTTTTTCTTAAAACTTGGGTTAGGGTTCCTCAGGAAAATGAGGTTCTTTTATCAGAAGATGTTCACGCGGAAGATGGGACACATGGTGAGAATACACATAATGTTCTGTACAGAATTTTCAAGTTTGTACTTTTATCTCTAAAAAAATCAGTGATACTCTTCGTTCAAATAAAACTCCTTTAAATATATACAAATAAAACAGAAGCAGAGTTGCTCTAATTGGATAATGATTCATCTTCTTGTAGACTTACTGTAGGCAAAGTGCTATTCTAAATACTTTTTAAGCAATCTTCAGAATACTATAAAGTAAATACTATTATTATTCCAACTTTATTGGCAAGAAGAATACAGTTTAGAGGAGCCTAAAGTTATATACAACTACAAATGATAAAAGTAAGGTATGAACCAAGAAGTCCACCAGAACCCAGAAGTATATAGTGTACAGAACAATCAAATATTCGTTGAATTAATGAATAAATTAGAAAAAGATAAGATGGTAGATTAGATGACTTACCTAAGCTATTAGTAACAGCAACTATTAAATACTCATTATAAACATGGATAAAGGAAAAGCAAGCGAAAAACAGAGAAAAGGACACTCACAGAATAATGGTAATTATATAAAAATACATAAGAAAAAGACTAAAAAGTTAATAGCAATGACATCAATTATGAATGACTTAGTTTCAAATAGACTTTATTGTTTCAAGAGTTCCTATAGTGGAAGTATATATAATTTTTTATTTAAAAAGTGGGCATCTGTGCATCATCCGAACAAAAAGTCATTATCATTGTGGATGAGGGGGAGTGCGGAGTGGGGACCCAAAGCCCATCTGCAGGCAATCAGACATCCCCTTACGGAAGGGTTGCGGGGAGGAGACGAGCCAGTCAGGGTGCAGTGTAGCAATGATGAAACATATAACTTTCCTCTAGTTCCTAAATGCTTTAAAAAATAAAATGATTTTTTTAAGTTTTTTTGTTTTCTTTTTAAATTATTTTATTGGGGCCTTGTACAATTCTTATCACAATCCATACATACATCCATTGTGTCAAGCACATATGTACATTCGCTGCCCTCATCATTCTCAAAACATTTGCCTTCTACTCTAGCCCCTAATATCAGCTGCGCATTTCCCCCTCCCTCCCCCCGAAAAAGCATTTTTAAAAGGTCACTAGAACAACCCAAGCAAGACATGATGAGGTTTCAACGAGAAGAACAGCAGGGAGGACGACAATCACGAAGTTGAATAGCCACACCAAACTCATTGCAAGGCAGCGAGCGAGGCCTGATAGGGCAGAGGGCCTTGTGGCTTTCCAAGCCTGCAAGCTTTCCAAGAGCAGGCCTTGCCTTTCTCCCACAGAGAAGCTGGTGGTTTTGAAGTGCTGACCTTGTGGTTAGCTCCCCAATGAGTATCCAAGAGTGAAATAAAAACGCTAGCCTTTGAACATGCCGGGTAGGGGAAGGGAGATATGTAATCAAGCGCTCCTCTGGCAGCTGAGCAGTGACAATGACAGAAGCAGGAGGAAGAACAGGTTTGTGGGAAAAGATAATGTCTTTGTTATGTGGAGTTTCAAGTGCCTGTTCAAGATGCAGATGTAGCTGTCCAGTGTATGGTGAAAATGAGATTAGACTTCAGCTAAGAGAGTAGGGTGAAAGAGGAAGATTTAAGAATTCAGATAAAAATAGCAATCCAAAACAAAGTGGTAGGTAAAATTCCACTAAAGTTTGGATGAGAAAGACCACTTAAGAAATAAAAATTAAAAAAAAAAAAAAGAAATAAACTAGAGGACACATTCACAACATTAAATAAATTTGTATTATCAAATTACACTCTACTTTTAATAGATCAATAATGATACATTTTATATAACCAGTTCTATAAATAAAACATTACTTTTTTTTTAACTGGCTTCAGCTGTATACAGGAAAAAATCAGCTGTGAATGTTTCATGAAACTCCAGATCATGAAATAAGTACAGTAACATGAAAGTGATTGTGTTCCCCCACAAAGGCTTCCAGGTCTAAATGCAGTTTCTCAGGTAAAACCTATATTCTTTGAGCTTACATGAAACCACCCAATCACATAAATAACTTTTCCAGTAAATTCTCCTTCCAGTCTTGATTGGCTTCTTCTTTTACATGATCTAGGTCCTCTAAATTTATTTTCCTTATTCCAGGTTGGCAATCAGAAAAGTTTAGTATTTAAATAACCCACTTACGCAAAAGCTTTGTACAAATTCTCCCTCAAATCCCCAACGGAGAACAATTTTTCCAGCTGTAGCAAGAATGTACTACTTACAGGACCCGCAGGGTTTGGGGCAGATCTCCCAGTCCAGTTCCCCGTTCAGTCCCCATCCCCAGTTAAGAGGTCGTTAGTTTATCCTTAAACAGCTTCAGTGACGGGACCTGAACCGGAAATAACCCTGGAACACTCTCCAAAAGAAGCCTCCCTGAACCTTTTCCTAGCTCTCCCTAGAGTGCTGATCAGTATAGCTTCTCCTCCTATTACGGTTTGAACACTTCACAAATTGATGCTCGCACTGAACTCAAGAG